AAGAAAGCAACATAATTAAGTAAATAAACAAGGCAGTTGAAAATGTCCTAGCTGACTTACAGCAATGTCCTCAGATCACTGATACATGTGAAAAACAAGATGCACAAGAGCACAGGGAACACTGTTTTTAAAACAACTGATTTTGTTGTTGTTATTTATTGGTTTTTTTAGAGACAGGAAGGGAGAGAGAGAAAGAAACATCAATGTAAGTCCGGCCTGTGTGACTCAGTGCTTGAGAGTCTACCCACGCACTGAGAGGTCACCAGTTTGATTCCTGGTCAGGACACATGCCCAGGTTGTGGGCCCAATCCCCAGTGGAGGCCATGCAGGAGGCGGCCAATCGATGTTCTCTCATAGATGTTTCTATCTCTCTCTCCCTCACTAAGAAAAAAAACCCAAAAAACATTAATGTGAGAGAGATACATTGATCGACTGCCTCCTACACGCCCCCTACTGAGGATCGAGCCCACAACCCAGGCATGTGCCCTGACCAGGAATTGAACCATGACCTCTCAGTCCATGGGACTGATGCTCAATTCACTGAGCCACATCAGCCGGGCATAAAAACAATTGATTTTATGATATTATGAGAGATCAATTATATTTCAATAAACTTGTAATCAACACCAAAGAATTCCCTGAGTCAAACATGGCAGGATACACACTAGGGCGGAAAGGTAGGAGGTTGATATGGGGACAGAGAAGGAACTAGAGAAAAAGTAGAGTCAACTTAAAAGAAAAAATAATAAAATTGAATACATATATACACACCACCACCTACTGAGCACCTACCACATGCCCAGGCCTCTTCTAAGCACTCTAAGCATTAAGCCACCCCAGGAGGCAAACAGCAGTGTGACCTCCCACTTCTCCAGTAGGAAACTGAACAGTGGGATGATGTGACTCAACCCAGGTCACACATTTTGGAAGTGGCAGAGCCTGGGTTAGAATCCAGGTCTATCTGCTTCCCTGTGCTCAGCACTTCCTGTTTTTCACATTCTCATTTTACTCAAGAGGAAAGTGATGCTCAGAGGGAAAGGCTTGTTTGTGGTCACATAATAGCTAGTGGCCAAAATGTTCCAGAACTAAGCCTCAGCACACTACTGTGAGGAAAGCACTTTCCAAATGCCAGCTAAAAATTACAGCTTCTATGTTTACTGAGCATTTATCATGTGTTAAGTACTGAGTCAGGTGCTTTTCATACATTGATTCATTTAGTTCTCACCACTGTTCTACAAGGGGCATCATGATAAGGAAACCAAAGCCCAGAGAGAAGAATCACTTGCGTTCTCTGTGGCTGAAACACTCAGACCCTAGCTTGCTAGCTCATTTTATTCAGGTCTGCATACCACTGCTTCTTCAGATGGGGCCTCTCTGATTACCCAGATAAGACAGCACCCCATTCCCAGTACGCCATATTCTTACCTGGCTTTACTTTTCTCCGTTGAACTTATCACTTCCCGTAGGCCTCCTTACCTATAACAAGCTCCTTGAGTTCAGGAACCAAGTTTGATTTAGTCACTGCTGTCCCCAGAGCCTAAACCAGAACCTGTTACAGTGTATACTCTAATTATGTAATAACTAGATTGAGGAGAACAGCCTACATGCCAGATGATGTGCTTCTAGTGACTTACTACACTTTACATGTATTAAGCCGTTGAATCTTTGCAACCACCATTACGGCCACTGTACAGAAGACGGTCACTTGCCAAAGGTCACATGGCTGCTAAGAGGCAGAGTTGGGACATGAACCCATGAGAACTGGCTCCTAAGTAGATGCCCATAACCACTGTACTGCACAGCTGGAGATAGTCACACCTTGGGTTTTAAGGTGCTTACTCTCCCAGTTTCTGAGAAACCTGGTATTCAACCTCCTCAGACTCCAGCTGGGACTGCTTTTCTAGGCCTGGACGGAACCCTTCCCAAGATCCTGTCAAAAAGCTGTCACCTGTCAAAAGCCTTCACACGGCCCAGGAGCTTCTTGTTGTTGCGACAGTTGATGAGCACCTGGGTGTTGTTCTTGACAGACTGCGTGAGCACAGAGAGTGGGCCGGTGTTGAACTCTTCCTCCTCACGCTTCTGCAGCTCCTCCGGGGTCATCTCACTCTTGGGTTTATTGAGGAGGCTCCTGAGTGGGCAAGTAGGAAACCCATAGGTGAGTAAGCTCAGAGTTGGAGCATGGGTGGTCATGGCCTTGTACTCGAGTTTCCTTCCAACCTTTCCCCAACACACCCACCCCCCCACTCAGTCCTCGCTTGGCATCACCATTTGGATGCCGAACAGATTTCTAATCTTGCACATCCTATGTTGAGCTCCACAATGCTCAACCACCTCAACTTACTCTTATCCACAGCCTTCCTCATCTCCATCAATGGTAACGCCATCCTCCCAGGTCTTTGAGCAAAAACTCTGATGTCAACTTGACTCTATTCTTCCTTTCACATCCTACATTCAATCTGTCAACAAATCCTGTCATCTGCCTCTAAAATACATCCAGACTCCAACCATCTCTTACCACGACCTGAACCTCCATCATTTCTCCCCTAGAGTCTTACTCATCTCCCTATCTCCACCCATGCTTCCTGGCAGTGTTCTCCACAGAGTAGTCCCAGAGGTTATGCCAAGACCCAAATCATATCATCTCACTCTTCAAAACCCTCCCTTGGCTCCCACTGCAGTGTAAAAAGCAAAATCTGAAGTTTTTACCATGTTCTGCACCTAACCCCCTCTGTCACTCTGTTCCAGCCACAGTGGCCTCTTGGGTGGTTAAGATATTAGGAGAACTTTCATTTTGGGATTCTGCATTTGCTTTTCCCTCTGACTGAATGCTTCCCCAGGTATCTCTGTGGTTTGTTCTCCCACTTTCTTCAGGTCTTCTGCTTAAATGTTTCCCTCTCAATGTGTCCTGTGCTAGTTGTTAAGTTACTGTCTCTCAAAACTGACATCAATCATTGTCCTTACTCTGCTCTCGTTTTCTTTTTACAAAATCCTGACCTGGCTGGTTTGGCTTTACGGTTAGAGCGTTGGGTCTCGGACCCAAGTGCCCTGGGTTCAATTCCAGCCAAGGACACATACCTTGGTTACGGTTCCTTCCCAGTTGGGGTCATGTGGGTGGCAACCAGTCGATGTGTCTCTCACATCAATGTTTCTCTCTCTCTCCCTCCAACTCTGTCTGATGAGGATAAAAAAAAATCCTCAGCCCAACCCTGGTCAAGTGCGTGTACATACGCAAACTGGTAGGTTTGCAGGAAAGATAAAATAAAATCCCCACCCCAGGATATTTTTCCATTGATTTTTTTTTTTTTTTTAAAGATAAGTGGGGAGGAGAAAAAGAGAAGTGGGGAGGGAGGGAGGGAGGGAGGGAGAGGGAGAGAGAGAGAGAGAGAGAGAGAGAGAGACAGACATTCATTGGTTGCCTCCCACAGGACCCTGAAATGGGCTGGGGATGGAACCTGAAACCAGGTATGTGCCCTTGACCGGGAATCGAACCCGTGACTTCTTGGTCTGTGGGCCCACACTCTAACTGCTGAGCTAAACCGGCCAGGGCTGCTCTCTCGTTTCTTTATTCATAGCCCTGGGCACCTAACACACCATATACTTTACCTGTTTATTATCATTACATTAACCACCTGCCTCTTCCCGCCCCGTAAGCTGCAGCAGAGGACTTTTCTCCAGGAGGGGTATTCACATATATATCCCAGGGATGTAAAGCAGTGTCTGATACATGTGCATTTAATAAGTCATTGCTTAATGGGTAAATAAGTAAAATCATTCCCATGTCTCATTCATTATCCGGAAACGTCGTGAATTAGGTAAAAAAGCCAACCGTCTCCAGCTCAAATTATCCGGATAGTCTCTCACCCCAAATCGTTATTCCTAAAATCCCGCACTTTCCTCTCCCAGGTTCTTAATTCGTAAAATCGCTTCCACTTAAAATTTATTTCAATAAGACTAATTATTTGGGAAGGCCGCCAGCCCGTTGTCTGACAAAGCTGTTCCATCCCCCGAATTCAGGAGCCGTGAAAAGCCCCACGCGCGTTCTCAAACTCAAGAGGAGAAAAGCACCCCACTTGACCCCTAAAATCTCTGTCTCCTCTCTACCCACCCCCTTCCACTGGTAAGTGGACAAATTTACACCCTCCACCCACTCCCGCCGTTTAAGCCTCGCGGGCCTCACATGGTGGTGGTAGCTGCGCTCTCAAGACCTTCCTGTCTCCGCCGCGTTGCGTCCGCCTCTGAAGAGAAAGCGCGAGAAAGGCGGGACTTCCCCTTCCGGCTGCCTACTTCCGTGGGCGCCTGCGCAAACTCAACCAGTAGGTGCGGGTGTGGCCTGTTGCCATAGTGAGCCCGCCAGCCCTGCGCGGCGTTGGAGTAAAAGCCTTGCTTAGTGGTTCAAGGTCATTTCAGGACCATATGGGTTTCATAGTCACGACAATGGAGAGAAAAAGAAAGCGGGTCCAACTGAAACCATTTCGTAGAACGGCACAGGTGGCAGGAGGGAAAGGACAAGCCAATTCCAAGCACCCGCCGGCCCTCCCCTCGGGGGCGCGGCCTCCAAGAAGCCAATCCGCTCCTCAGATTCAGGGATAGACTCCGCCCCTTGGGGGGCGGTTCGTTTACGTGTCTATTGATCTTTCCGACTTCGGAAAAACCAATCCTTTGCCTACATCCGGAAGGGGCGTAGATCTACGCCCGGGAGGTCGACTATTTTCCACGATCAAACGCTTCTCATTGGCTTTCCCTCCAAAGCTGAGGCAGAGCCAACCCCTTCCGCGCTCCCTTTTGGGTTGTGCGAGTCTCAGAGGAACCGTCACCTAAGCCTCAGGGGGACCGGGAGGCGTGTCCTCAGAACGAGAGTCCCTATTGGCTTCACTGCTCGCGGGAGGGCAGGATGGTGCAGCCGCTCTTGTTGTTCATTGGTCCGGTGATTCCATGGGGTGGGACTTGGCTGGGCCTACATTCGTTCCCAGGTCCCCGACAGGTTTTTGGGCAAAGCGGCCATGCGTTCCGGCAGCCGTGGACGGCCCCGGCTACGGCTCGGGGAACGCGGCTTCTTGCAGCCACCCTCACCGCCCAGTCGCCGCCTGCTACCGCGGGCGCAGCTGCTGCCGCTGCTGCTGCTGGCGCTGGCCGTGGCCTCGGTGTTCTACATCATCTGGAGCTGCTGGCAGCGCCAGACTGAGGAGCTGCCGCCGGGCCGGGAGCTGCGGGTGAGGCTCGGCGGGGGCACTGCAGAGGCCCTCATTCCTCGCTTCCCCTTACCTAAGGTTTTGGGTGGACGTGACTTTATCATATGGCCTTAGCCCCAGGTGCCGCTGTTGTGGTCTTTAGCACGCATGCCGCTTGTTAATGGAATGAGGCTTCGGGCTTGTTCTCTAACAGTGGCTCCCCTTTAAGACGAAGGGTCTGGAGCAGCGGTTCTCAACCTGTGGGTCGCGACCCCTTCGGGGGTCCAACGACCCTTTACAAGGGTCGCCTAAGACATAACAGTAGCAAAACTACAGTTATGAAGTAGCAACGAAAATAATTTTATGGTTGGGGATCACCACAACGTGAGGAACTGTATTAAAGGGTCGCGGCATTAAGAAGGTAGAGAACCACTCGCTGGAGTAGTGAAACTGGGATTTCTGGGTTCTAATCCAAAAGTCAACTGTTTGAGTCTCTCTGGTTTCCCTGTCAGGATTGGGGTGGGCTGGACCAGTTGGGAGGGACTTTTCCTGTGTCTAAGAATTATCCTAGAAACCTCTGATGCTGAAAGCCGCGATTAGGAAAAGGAATCCGGGCTTCTTAGGGGCGACGGCGCCCCTGTAGGGTCAGAATGGAAGGTGAACTCACGCTCTGCTCTCTTCCCCACCCAAGGGCCCGTTGATCGCGAGCCTCCCCGAAGCTCGAATGCGAAGGGTGGTGGGTCAGCTGGATCCACAGCGTCTCTGGAACACTTATCTGCGCCCCCAGCTGGTTGTGCGGACGCCGGGTAGCCCGGGCAATCTCCAAGTCAGAAAGGTAAAGGGTTCCGCACCTGACCCCTCAGACCACCAGGGAATGGGAAATAAGCATTCTGCACAAGAAACAGCCCTATGAAGTGGGCACCAGTGGGATCTTCATTATGCAGATGGGGAAGCTGAGGCCCAGAACAGTTGGGCATTTTGCCCAAATCCCACAGCTAATAAATGGTGTGCCTAGGATTTTAATCCAAACGGATTGGCTCCAGAGCTGGTGCTGTAACATCCCTATATTACCTCCCAGAAAGCATTTGAATATGCTTGACTTCAAATCTCACTTCAGCTACTTGGAGTGTGACCTTGGAGTAGTTTCCTAAGGTCTCTGTGCCTCAGTTTCCTCGTCTTCGAATTGAACCACTGATGGTCCCTACCCAATAGAGTTCCTAGAGCAGGGCTTGGCACATAGTGAGTGCTCCTGAGGAGTGAGCTGTGATTAGTCTGGCGTAAGAGTGGGGTCATTCCACACCTGGCACTTAGTAGGTACTCAGAAGTGTGTCAGAGGAATGACCAAACCAAAGTGGGACTTGAGTCAACCCTATTGTTCTGCCTGGCTCAGATCACGTGGCCCTTTTCTTTGTGTCCTCCCCAGTACCCCCACCCACCCTCCCACCTCTCTCTTGCCACTAGTTCCTGGAGGCCACTTTGCGGACCCTGACAGCAGGCTGGCATGTGGAGCTGGATCCCTTCACGGCCTCAACGCCCCTGGGGCCACTGGACTTTGCCAATGTGGTGGCCACACTGGACCCGGGAGCTGCCCGTCACCTCACCCTTGCCTGCCATTATGACTCGAAGCTCTTCCCATCTGAGTCGGCCCCATTTGTGGGGGCCACAGATTCAGCTGTGCCTTGTGCCCTGCTATTGGAGCTGGCCCAGGCCCTCGACCAAGAACTGAGTAGAGCCAAGGATCAGGTGAGGAGTGGGGTAGGGTAGGGGTGGAGAGCAGGGCCTGTATTTTCCTTGGTTGAAGCCACCATTCTCCCTTCCCTGGACTTGGCTTCCTGCCTTTACTACATATACAAAGCCACAGAGATCTTTCCACCTCCTGAATATCAGATCCTGTCCCTCCTCTGCCCCAAACTCTCCTGTGGCTCCTACTTCATTCCATGCATAAGCCAGAGTTCTTACAGTGGCCCATGAGGTGTGCCCTGTTTCCTCTCTGGTCTCATCTGCCATCCCTTGCCCCCAGCTCACTCCACACTAGCTACCTACTGCCTTGTGTACCTCCAATCACAAGATTCACTTCCACCTCAGGGCATTTGCACTTGCTGTTTGCTCTGCCCAGAATGTGCTTTTCTCAGATATCTTCCTAGCTGGCTCCCATCCTTCATTCAGGTGTCCATTCCGATGTTACCTCCTCAACAAGGCCTTCCCAACCATGCTGTCACTATCCCATGATTTGTGGTGCTTATGTTGATTTGTCTGTGTGTCTCCACAACTGAAATAAGCTCCATCTAGACAGGGACTTGGCTGCTTTTTTTCCTGCTCTATTCCCTGGGCCCAGAAAATTACCTGGAATGAAGTAGGATATTAATTAAAATGAATGCAATGAATGAATGAATGAAAACACAAATTTCCTCATGTTCCTCCCCTGCTTAGACCCCCCTCCCATGCCTTAAACCCCAGTGTCCCAAAACCCAAGCTCCCTGGCCCTTGCTGACCCCTCAGGCCTCTTCTCAAATCCTCTCTGGCCCAGCCCTGCTCTATATTGCTTCCTTGCCTGGGAACACTCTTCCCTCCACTCCATTTTGCCAGGCCAGCTCCCACTTACCCTCAGTACACACATCCCTTTCCAACAGACCTAACATGCTCCCCAGGCCAAGTTATTTCCCCACCGCCTTCCTGTGCTCTTCAGGACCCTATAGTTCTTGGAAGCATTTGTCCCAACTGCATTTCACTGTATAATTATTCATTTGTGGGTCCCTTTTGCTAAACGGGCTACAGGAATAATGATAATAATCAGAGCTAACCCTTTAGTTACTATATGCCAGTCACTCTTCTAGGACCTGTGTTCGAATCCTACCCTACAAAAAAAACTGTTATCAACCCCATTTCTATATGAGGAAACTAATGCTTTGAGAAGTTAGTAACTTACCCATGACTGCTCGGCCAGGAAGTAGCTGAGGCAGGATTTGAACCCAGGCAGTCTGGCTCAGAGTCTTGCTCTGTGAGTGAGGAGACCTAGTTTGTCCCGTTTAACTCTGCAAGCGGGCAGGAAATGGGGGTGGGTTCAGGTCAGGGGTGGCACTGAGCACCAGCTCCCACAGGCAGCCCCAGTGACCCTGCAGCTGCTCTTCTTGGACGGTGAAGAGGCACTGAAGGAATGGGGACCCAAGGACTCCCTCTATGGCTCCCGGCACCTGGCCCAGCTCATGGAGTCTTCACCCCACAGTCCCGGCCCCACCAGGATCCATGCTATTGTAAGACCAGGGCCCCACTGGGTTCCGGTGAGGGAGGGAGGGGGTGAGGCAAGGTTGGCAGCATCCCACCTGGTCTCTCCAGTCCTGGCCTCTCTCCCTAGGAGCTCTTTATGCTTCTTGATCTCCTGGGAGCCCCCTATCCGACCTTCTACAGTCACTTCCCTAGCACAGTCCGCTGGTTCCATCGGCTGAGGAGCATCGGTAAGGGTGATGGTGGAGGCAGGCTCCAGCCTGGGATGCGGGTGGGAAGGCCAGGGTGGGGCAGGCACTTGTCCTCTGAGGGATCATCCAGCCTTCCCGCCACCTTCCTAGCCTCTCTCTAAGGCACTAACACAAAGGGCAAGACACAAACAGATCCCACAGCAGACGTGATTACAAATGGGGCATGGGGTCAGACAGCCCTGGGATCGAATCCTGGCTCTCCTTACCAGCTGTGTGAACTTGAGCCAGTGGCTTCATCTCTGAGCCTCGATTTCCTGTCTGTAAAGTGGGCATGATGGGAATGCGAATAGAAGAACATGGTGCACCTGCAGGAAGGGGTAACTGACATTCTTTCTTACTGTGGGATGACCAGTGCTTTACCTTCAGACCCCTGCTCTCCTCTGGTTTGTCAGCTGGGGAACCTTTGATCTTGGGTGGCTGACCCTTGCCCTCTAATCCCCACTGCCTCCAGAGAAGCGCCTACACCGTTTGAACCTGCTACAGTCTCATCCCTATGAAGTGATGTACTTCCAGCCTGGGGAGGCCCCTGGCTCTGTGGAAGATGACCACATCCCCTTCCTCCGCCGAGGTACTTGCCAAAGGGAGGGGTGGGTGGCAGGAGTCCAAGGGAGCCACAGATGGGCCCTGTCCCTGATCCCTTTCCAGGGTGGGGGACTGACTGGTGGCAAGTTGTTTAACCTCTTTGTGCCTCGATTTCCTCATCTGTAAAATGGGGATAATAACCCCTGTCCCAGTTCCCATCTTTTGTGTGTGTGTGATTAATCCTCACCTGAGGATATTATTTTACTGATTTTTAGAGTGGAAGGGGGAGGGTGGAACAGGAGAGGGGGAGAGGGAGAGAGAGAGAGAAATATTAATGTGAGAGAGACAGATCAATTGGTTGCCTCCCACACACGCCCAGACAGGGACCCAGGATCAAACCTGTAACCCAGGTAGATGCCCTTGATCAGGAATTGAACCCGCAACCCTTCAGTGCCTGGGCTGACGCTCTAACCACTGAGCAACAACGGCCAGGGCTCAGTTCCTGTCTTGTCGAGGGGGTTGAATGTGCTAATACAAAATGTAAAGACCTTTCTTGGATCGGTACCTGGCACATAACATGCATTCGAGAAACGTGAGCTCTTACTGTTGTTGCCCCAGTGGCTGCAGTTTCTTCCAGCTCTTGCCTTTCAAGGCCCTGGCAGCCCAGCAGAATCCCGAGGAGCTTTGAAAAACCCCAGTCACATTTCAGGCCCACTGAACCACCATCTTGGGCCTCTGTGTTATTTTTACAAAACTGCCAGGTGATTCGGATGCACAGCCAGGGTTGACAGCTGGTCGAGGGGTTCAGAACGCAGTTTCAGAATTGGTCTCGGTTCCTGGATCTGCAACTTACACTGGTTGACCTCAGACAAATTACTAGTGGTTTTTGTTTTTGTTATTTTTAGACAGAGAGGAAGGGAGAGGGAGAGAGAGACAGAAACATTGATGAGAAAGAACATTCATTGGCTGCCTCCTGCATGCCCCCCACTGGGGATTTGGCTCACAACCTGGCCATGTGCCCTGACCGGGAATCGAACCGGCCACCTCATGGTGCATAGGCCGACGCTCAGCCACTGAGCCAACACAGCCAGGCTCAGGCAAGTTATTTAGCCTCTGAGCCCCTATTTCTTCTGGGAAAATGAAGAGATTTATACCTAAAACAACATGTCTATGTGTATATTCATATTCAAAAAGTTGGGAGGATGGGATGAGATTAGGTACATGAAATGCCTGCTTACACCATGCTTGGTATGTAGTGAGTACTAAAAACTGCTTTCTAAATTTTTACTCTCTAATTTACTCATTCAGCAAGTATTCATTCCTTACAACACCTTCTTAATTGATTCACTCAACAAATACTTCCCAAGGCAGGTACTGAGCAAGGTGTCAGGGACACAGCGATGCTCCAGAATCTGCCTGCCTCCTATCTAGTGTGGGGACCGATATTTAGCAAATCTGGACAAACGCAGAGAGAAGAGCTCTGAGGATGGGAACCCAATGCAGAGCAGTGGTTAAGAGCACAGACTGGAGATAGGTGGCCTGGGTTTTAATGGTCTGTGCTGTTTACCAGAGGTGGAACCTTAGGCCAATCTCTCTGCCTCTGTGCGTCAGTTTCCACATCTGTAAAATGGCGGTAGTCATGGCACCCACCTTAAAGGGTTATTATAAGGATAAAATGGTGTGTATGTGTGATGTATAGCCTTAGAGTAGGGCCTGGAATAGAACAAGTATTAGATAAGTGCTAACTATTAGTAAAGAAGAGAAAGGATCCTGATAAGGTACACCTGGTGAGGATGGTCAAAGACATTTGTCCCTTCTTCCAGTCTTTCCAAAATCCATTTAAGTTTTTAGTTTTTTAGTTTCTCTTAACTTGTGTTTTAAAGACAATAGACATACTGGGTATGTTTTTAAACTAACATATACCCTCACACACTTAGTGATTGTTCAGAGTTCTTGAAATGCCAGAACAGAGTATCTTTGGGGGACGAGGGGAGGCCTGGGCTTCTGGGTCAGCTGTGGGCCTGACCGAGTCTTCTCTCTGTCCTGCAGGGGTCCCGGTGCTCCACCTCATCTCCACGCCCTTCCCTTCTGTCTGGCACACGCCTGAGGACTCCGAGACCAACCTGCACCCACCCACGGTGCACAACCTGAGCCGCATCCTTGCCGTGTTCCTGGCTGAATACCTGGGGCTCTAGCTGGCTGGGCTGACTTGGAAGAAGCGCCCAGCAGGGGATGTGTCAAGGGCACCAGGAGCCAGCGGAGCTCAGGCGGGGCCCACCTCGGGTGCGCTGCCTTGTCCTTTTTAATACCTTTGGCTCTGCTTGTGTTGTTATTGGAAGACTCTCTTTCCTTTGACTATCTCAAGCTGCCACTCTTCAAAGACATGGAAGAGACCATTGTGGGGTGAGAGCCAAAGGAAGAAGATCTTGGGCCCTGCTCTGTGGGAGACACTGGGCTGAAGGTTTGCAAGGGCCAGATGCTATTTTCAGTTGTAGTCAGCACACCACGGACTGGCATGTGGACCAGCAACACCACCTAACCCAAAGAATTTTGTGGCTTCTGATTTTGTGGCAGTTCGTTCTCCAGAGTGGCAGCCTTAGTACTGCACTGGTCCAAAACTAGCTCCCACGTGCTCATAACAAGGAACAGAAGAGATGGAAGCCATTACTTGGGAACTCCAGCTTCTACAGACCCAGTGGGCAATAATCTAGTGTTTCTGCAGAATATATTCTACAGAACTATCATAGGTGTTGCATGAAAAAAGGGACCAAAGAAGTGGGGTGAGACAACATTAAATGAGTTTCTTCATTGCACAATGTGAATTTTCAAGGGCTAGACAATGCATTGTTTCCCCAAGTAGTTCACCAATGGAACTTTTATTGTGAAGCACCTCACAGAGCTAGGGTACCTCAGAAGATACTTTGGGAAACACTGGTATGTTTATGGAAGGAGTAAGACTTCCATATAACTGCAAACTAGTTATACCAAACCATCCTGTCCCTTTTATTGTGGGTACAGGAGTGCGAGATGGTGGGTGTTAACTACAACTCCAGTGATGGCCTGAGGAAGTATTTCCCAACCCTACCTAATTTTCCGGCTCAATTGGGGTACTAATTAAAAAGTGCAGACTCCCAGGTTCCACCCAGACCTAATGAATCACAACTCCAGGGAGGGGCTAGAAATCTCAGGGTTAGCAAGGTTTGGGATGTTATGTCCTTAAGGATAGTTTGGTGTTTTCCCAGGTACTTAGCAAACCTACTCCAAAGAAAACCAATGGAGGGAAAAAGGGAGGTCCTATGCTAGGCTCTGTGCCTGCTGGCTTTGTGGCTTTTTAAAATTTATTTATCAATTTTTAATCTTCACCTGAGGATACTCTTCCATTTATCTTCAGATAGAGTGGGAGGGAAAGAGAGAGAGACATCGACTGGTTGCCTCCTGCACGAACCAACCTGGACCAGGGACCGAAGTGCAACCGAGGTACGTGCCCCTGACTGAAATTGAACCCGAGACTCTGGTCTGCAGGCTGGTGTTCTAACCACTGAGCAAAAACGGCCAGAGCGGCTTTTGACTTAAATAATTGTTTTTTAGCCCTGGCCGGTTTGGCTCAGCGGTTAGAGCGTCGGCCTGCGGTCCCGAGAGACCCGGGTTCGGTTCCCGCTAAGGGCATGTACCTCGGTTGCAGTTTGTCCCCGGCTCTGGTCAGTCGTGCGGGTGGCAGCCACTCGATGTGTCCCTTCACATCGATGTTTCTCTCTCTCTCTGTTCCTCTCTCCCCCTCCTACTCTACCTGAACAAAAAATTAAAAAAAAAAAAAAAAATAAATAAATAATTGTTTTTTAGAGAGAGGGAGAGGGAAAGAGAGAAATATCCGCGTGAGAATGTAACATTGATCGCCTGCCCCCTGCATGCCCCCTACCAGAGACTGAGCCTGCACCTGGGGCCTGTCCCTGACCAGGAGGAACCACGCACCTGTCAGTGCACAGGAGGACAACCAAGCCACCCGGCCTTACATCCCTGCCAGCATGGAGGGTTATTAAGAGGTAAAGGCGAGCCCGGCTGGCGTGGCTCAGTGGTTGAGCATCAACCCGTGCACCAAGAGGTCGCCGGTTCAATTCCCGGTCAGGGCACATGCCCACGTTGTGGGCCCGCTCCCCAGTGGGGGGCATGCAGGAGGCGGCCAATCTATGTTCTCTCTCATTGATGTTTCTATCTCTCTCTCTCTCTCTAAAATCAATAAAGAAAAAGAAAAAAAAGGCAAAGGTGAGCATTTAGCCTTCTGAGCCAACTCAAGGCTGTAGAAGATTCAAGAATTCACGGTCTGAAACTCAGGATATCTAATGAGAGGATAATGAGAAGGATCGCAGTTCACATTCTGCCACAGTAGCTGGCCTTGAGCACCTACTATCAGCCAGGCACCATGAGCTCTTTGTGTGTGCCTTCTCTGTGTCCCCCAATCCTGAGTTAGGCAGTGTTGGTTCTTTTGCAGATGAGGGGGTTGGGTCTGAGATTCATGAATCAGCTGTTTACAGAGCCCAGATTCTCACAGGCTGTGCTCCTAAGCCTGTGTCCTACCTCCCTTCCAAAAGTAACCTGTGTGGGACCAACAGATTATTAACAAAAAGTAGTTCCTCCTGAGGCTTTCAATTGGGTGCAAGTTAGAGTGGGGTTGGTGTGTGTGTGGCGGGGAACAGACTAAGGACCTCTTAGAGGTGGAATTGGCAGAAGTCCAGAGTTCAGAAAGGGAAATTGACAAACATCAGCCAGAGGGTCTCAGACCACAGGGAGATTCGTTTGTTCTTTTCTGGTTTGGCAGGCATGGTGCCCAGCACTTAAAAGTGCACCGTATCTCCTGAGCCTCACAGCTCTCCAGAAGCAGAGACATCATCTCCATGTTAGAGAGGGGAAGCAGTGTTCGGTTACATCCCAGCCCTCTCCCTGCGAGACATCTTGGTTGAGTGTACCACTTGCCAGGCACTGGGCAAGGGGCCTGATGCATAGTTTTTGCGTGAATCTGGGGCACGGATTGTGAGCTCCATTTTATAAATGAGGCTGCTGCTGCTGCTGCTTGGCAAGGGTGCTTTCCCCAGCTCCATTCGTCCCTCCAATTTGGGGTCCCCAGCTCATGCTATGAAGGGGCCAGCAGGGGTATTTAGTAAGCACAATTGTTGAGCATTCTAGGTAATCTTGAGGAATCATCAGTACTCTCACCTTTCCATTTTTTGTTAATCCTCACCTGAGGATATTTTTTCCCATTGATTCTGAGACAGAGTGGAAGGAAGGGAGGGAGGGGCGGAGGGAGAAAAATGTGCCCTTGACTGGGAATTGAACCCACTAACTACCCTTCTGTGTATATACCAAGGCTCTTATCACTGAACCAAACCGGCCAGGGCTGTATTCTCACTTTTCAGATTCAGAACCTGAGCTTCAGAGAAATCCATTGCCAAAGATCACATATGCAGTGTGTCTAGAGGTACATTTTTCTTTTTTCTTGCATTTATCTTTAGATAGAGCAGGAAGGGGAGTGGGAGGGAGGGAGGCAGAGAGAAACATCGTGAGAGCACACATTGAGTGGTTGCCACCCACACAATCCCATTGGGGTGGGGACAAACTGCAACTGAGGTATGTGCCCTTAGCGGGAACTGAACCCAGGAGTCTCTGGTCTGCAGGCAGAACCAAACCGGCCAGGGCAGGTACATTTCTTTTTATTCATCCTGCTTGTGATTCATTGGACTTATTGATCTTTTAGTAAAGGAACCATTGTCTTTAAATATTTTTGCACTACACTCTCTTCTGATTCTAGAATGCCAATTAAATATTAGACTTTCTCACTCTATCCTCTATAACCTTTCTTTCATAGTTTTTTTTTTTTCTCTGCTACTTTAAGGACTTCTCTCTGGTTCATTAAATCTTCAGTTGTGTCTGATTTGCTGTTTAGCCCAGCCACTGAGTTTTTACTTTTGGTTATTGTTTGTGGGCTTTTCCCCTTCATATCCGCTAGGCCATTACTTAGTTCCAAGTTCCCTGCAGGTATTTGCAAGATCTTGTTGTATTCTAATCTGTGACCGACAGTTTCACCACCTGAAGCCTGTTCTTGCTGTTTCTGCTGGTTCTTGCTCATGCTGGTTTATTTCCATGTGTATTTGGTTACTTGACGGTACCATGCATTGTCTAAAAATTATTTGTGGGGACTCTAGGTGACAGTTCCTTGCACCAGAGGATTTGTGTCCGTTTCTCAGCTAGAAGTACCCTGGGACACACTGCTGATGCAAACTGGGCTGCAAACCTGAGCCAGAGCCAGCCTGTGACCACTCATTTTTCAGGTCCACTTTTTTCTTTCCTTAGTCCTGTGCCCCACCTCAGTGGTTAGAATATCACAATCTTCTGGGTCATCCTTACCTCGGCCTGTGGTTTAGTGGGATGCCAGCTCCTATTAGATTTCTCACCTTAGGCAGGCTTTAGCCTTAACTTCTGCCTGCGCCAATAAGGCTACAAATAGGAAACTCAAGTTTGTCCACATCAACAAATGCCCTCATGTACCTTCAGGGCTCCAGGTACCCTTCCCTTAAATTTTCGGCTTAGTACATCCTTAACTGTATTTTATTGGCTATTTGATGCTTTTACGCTTTTTTACTTCCTGCTTTCAGCCGGATAGTCCAAATAATCTGGTCCTTACAGAAAACTAAAGTCCCACAAAACCAAGATTCAAACCCAGGTCTCTCTTATTCTAAAATCTAAGCACTGAATAACTACTATGATATTCCTAGTCTCTGTAAATTTTGATCCCCTGATAAGAATTTCAAAGAATGTTAGCTACCTCTTAAAATCCATTTTCCCTGTTCTTTTATACTTGACTTTTTAAAATGTCTTACTCCCTTTTTATTTAGTAAATAGTCAAGTGGCCATTTCACTACAGGGATCTTTAGTAAAAGATTTTGGAGGGCATAATGCACCTAGCTGAAAGACTGCGTTTCCAGTCTTCTCTGCAGGCCTTCCATTTGGCTAAGTTCTGACCAGTGAGCAGCATATAGAATTGTAGTAAGTCCTCACTTAACGTTGTCAATAGGTCCCGCAACTTTAAACGAAATGACGTATAACAAAAACAATTTTACTATAGGCTAATTGATATAAACAAGAGTTAAGTTCCTATGGCATCTTATCAACATTATAATGAAGTACTGAATGAAATGATATTATTTGAGGACCTGCTGTCCTGGGAGGAAGGGGGTTTCACTTCCTGCAAAATGGTGATGTCTGGAGTTCTAGCAGTCATTTTGAACCGTGGGGATGAGGGCCACAGGCCAAGAATGATGGAGTAGTGTGCTAGAAGGAGCTTGGGTTCCTGATCAGGGCCACCATACCTGCCCGACACTGGATTTCTAAAGAAATAAAAACTATCTCATTTAAACTACTACCATTTTGAAATTTGAGTCCAAACTGACACAGATGAGTCAAAAATACTTTCATGCTAAGGGACTTGGCAAAGGATCCTTTTCGCTCAGCTTTTTCCATCTCACCATGCGCAGACGCATGACTCCCTTCTCTCCCAATTCCCCTCCCTGAACAACATAGAAACCAGTCTGGGCCCAGCCTTATAAATACGGATTTTATAGAAAGGACCAATTCAAAACTGGTCAGATGCCACACGCTACAGGCTTCCAGAACCACAGGGATGAAAAACCAAGAACAACAACAAAAAACCCCCAAACAGAACAAACAAAAACACCCCAGACCAAATTGCCTGAAAAATCAAGGTCTCA